GGAGAGAGAAGATTGTATAGAATTTATATTTTTTTGAAATATAGGCTTATTATTTTGAGAGAGAAAAGGGGGTTGAGAATTGTATGTTTTTTTTTTTTTTTTATTATTATTATTATTATTATTATTTATGAAGGTCAATGATTAATTATTAAATAAGTGTTTAAGGAGAATCGCACTCACACCCTTTCCTTGCTAGTATTGAAGTCTTGTCTTTCGTTCCACTGCTAAGAGTGGAACTAATTTCTCTTTATGAGAAACTTAGAGGTATTTTGAAAAGTTTGTAAAAAGTTCACTTTTATCTTTTAACTAGTTTTTTGACTTTTTTATAAAGTGATGTAGAAAGTTGGTAAAAAATTATTTTTGATTTTTTTTTATTAATATTTATTTATGATGTCACATCACAATCAAATGACCAAAATATTCCCACTTAATTTAGAAAATTTATATTTTTACCCATATATAGCCCTAAACAATATAAAAAGTATAATTGTAATTTCACAACTTATTTTTTTGGATTTCCCAAATCATTTCTTGCTAAAAAAGCCAAGCTAACTTTTTTATCCCCAAGCTGCAAACGCAGCTTTTAACATGTGTTTCCCAAAGAGCACTTAATGATCAAAGAGTTAGCCACACAAGTCACAATCTATTGGTAGGGCTGCAAATGAACAGAGCCGTTCGTGAACAAGCTCGAGCTCGGCTCGGCTCAATAAAAGCTCGTACGAACTCGATTCGTTAATTTTTTTTGTCGTTCGAGCTCGAGCTCGTTAAATTTTTAATAAACAAGCCCAAACATTCTAAAGCTCGGCTCGTAAGCTCGGCTCGTTAGCTGGTTCGTTTAATATTTATTATTTATATATTAAATAATATAAAATTATGTATAAAAAATAAGAAAAATATGCTATTTATATGTTTAAAAAATATAAATGTAAATAATACTTAACTATAGATAGTACATTTATATAATAGTGGTAGTAGATATTATTATTTTAGTAAAATATGAATTTTTTATAGTATGTTTATATATATTGTGTATATAATTGTATAATCAAAGTTTTAATTGTAATTTTAGTCTCACATGCAAGTATGAATTTATAAATTTTTTGGCTCGTTAAGGTTCGTGAACAGGCTCGAGATTGAGTCGAGCCTAAGCCAACTTGGCTCGAGCTCGGTTCGTTAAATTTTTATTCA